GCTAACATGCAGCGAAAATCAGTTGAGGACAGTTGAGATACAGCGGATGTAAATTTCTGGGTCCTTATTCTTGAAACAAGGGAGCAGCGTTCCCAAGAGAACGAAGGATCCGTCTTTCTCAATGATATGCAAACGATAATATAAGTAACAAAGACAAACCATTCGTTCTCCTGGGAGCGCTGCTCCTCTATTTCAAGAATGAGGACCATTAACGCCCGATACTTCTGCGCATGTCTAAAGCATAAGTTGAGTTAGTAAGCGCATATTTTTACCGCTTAGAGCAGCTGACAAAAAGCAGCTTTTGCTGAATGCCGCTGAACGCGATTGTTTTCCCAACTCCTCGACTGTTGGCAACAGTTGAGTGCTGGTAAACGAACCCATTTTGCTTTCGCTCGTGCGCATAGTTCATTGGTTGACAGTGACAGTCTGACAATTGACAAAGGCGGCTAAAATAGAACAAAACGTCAGTTAGGGCGTGTGCGTAGAAATTAACTGAGGTTTTTTTTTTACGACCGTGCGGAAAAGTACTTTTCCGCACGCATTTTAGAACATGAAATTACCAAAGTGACTTAACATAGCATAATCATTATGATGATATTTCCATGGCCTAAAATGCGTGCAGAAAAAAGCACCTTTCGTACGCTCGTAGAAAAGATTGTTCGCCTCCAGCGGCGCCTGCGGCGAGCTTTCCCCTCCCCCTATAAACAAATTTATAAAGTTATTATACTGCACCCATGAGGGCTTTCAAAAATCGGCGCCTCTGGTGAAGAAGAACTCACTGCCTTGCAGAAACTTGGTACCAGTGAATTAGTACCTACCTGATGATGTTGTATATCAGCTGGAAATATTTATTTGCCGGGTTTATAAAGCAAGCACTAAAACAAAATCACACAATTACGGTGGTAAATGTTTACTGCCAAACAAGCCCTCCTACTAGAGGTTCCCTTGTACCCGCAATTAAGAGAGCTAACCTTCAAGCATTTGTGTGGTCAAAAGATCATGAACAAAATGCAATCATCCCTAATTCAGTTGGACACCCCTGTTATGTGGGAAGACCGGAAGAGCCATGTGCTCCAGAGTCTCTGCTTTAACTAATTAAATGTTCGTGCCTAAAAAATCGATGTTCATCACCATTTAAATGTTTAGCAAACAATATACCTTGCACAGAAATATATAGGTAGTTGTATTGCGAACCATTCAACTTGTGATAATTTGTATCCACATTTTTCCGACGGAGATAGGGTGAATGTGCCTGTTCACCGACCTGCTCTAGATCTCGACCATTCAGCTATTTAGGGGCCAATAATAAATAGAATAACCGGCAAACCTTGCTATGGAATGTTGAATTAGTTTTCAATCACTTTGACCCATTCAAAATAGGCGGCATTACTGAAAAACACGTATCAGTTTTCCCGCGAAAAATCAGTAAAGTCTTGCTTGTTGTACGGATAACCCACGTGTAATCTAAATTTGTTGCACTGCTTAGTGGCATCGTATCTGAAAATAGTGAATAACTTATGTTTATTTACAATCATACATGTAATGTTGACTTTACTGATTTTTAAAAAGTTCGAAAATGTCACTTTTTTGAGTTTTACTTTCGGCCCACGGGTCGAAAGTATACATACCTCGGTGAAAAGTTTCATTTCTGTCTCAAGATTTCAGTTAGACCTCGGCTGTACTATTTATTTTAAACTAATGGATGAAATATTTTCTTTAGGGTAGAGGAAAGGTTAAATGTTGAAATTATCATGAAGAAACTGCATTTAATGATTTTTCTCACGTTATTATTTGGTGCCTTTGGTGGTCGAGAACCAGCTTTTAAAAATTGACGATTTTTGGTTTCCGACCGCCTTGGTCGAAAACAAAAATGCAGAAGCTATTGCTTTTATTTGAAAAAATATGTTAAGGAAGGACTTTAAAAAAATTAATTTTTGTTTATTGTTTATAAACTGCCTTCAAGAACCTAAATTTTGGTTTGCGACCACTATTTTAAATTGAAAAATTATGAAAATGTTCTAAGAATTGCTGAAAATTGGTGGTCGAAAACCAAATTGATCTTAGTCTATTCTCGACCACGTTCCACCCTAGAAAATTGGCGGTCGAAAACCAGATCGATCTTTTTCTTTTATCGATCACCTTATAAAGATATATGAAGGAGTGACTTTTGAGCGGTCGAGAACCAACCCTAAAGTGGTCGAGAATTGTGACCGGTGGTCGTAAATAGAATAAAATGCACTTTTTCAACATTTATTCAATTTATTTACTAATTTGAAATAAAATCCCAAAAAATGCAATTGTAAACCTATCTTAAGACGTCAAAAATTTTAAAAAATATATTTCAGTTGAAATTCGACTTAATTTTTCGGCATTTAGGTATCACATCTCAAAATCAAATTTTCTGTTAGCTGGTCGTAAACAGGCACATTCACCCTAGTGATGAAGATGATAGTGATAAGGCCGATTTGTAATTTTATTAAAATGTATGTGCAAATTATATTACTTAAATTTCATTGAATACATAAGCTAATATAACGTAGCGTAGACCATATTTTCTTATTTGATAAAAATGAGGTACACCTGCAATATTTTTCAATGTGTTCATTTTAAATTCAATCAGCAACAGAAATATTGTGTTTTCGCAATACTTTACGCCGATACTGCACATTATTTATATTACTATAGCGGCCATCTTGTTTGACGCACTCCAAACAAAGGCAACATCTGTGACGGTGTCAGGTGTCACCATACCTGTGACCACCTGTGACCATACTATAACGTACTTATTTTGGCAACTGCCTAATTATACTGCATACGGCTAGTCAGCATCAGTCCGGAGGCCATGGGTCCATGGGTTCCTTGTATACATCTCACCCTTGGGCGCCACCAAGTTAATTGTGACTTAACTAGGAAGATTACTTATTGATGTTATAACAAAACTTGTACAATTGGAGCGCTTAACAATAAAACAACTAATTAGGTACAATAATGTATCTGGCTTCTTTATTAAAAAAATAATAACAATAATGAATAGGGATAGCCAGGACGTTGTTAAAAATGTGTATACATTATGGCTTGTACCAATTTATAAATATTTGATTATCAAAAGAATGAATGTAAATAATGCATATATAAATATGAATTTTAAATAAACATGACTAAAAACCTTTTGGTATTTACACTTGTGAGAGATAAGAAAAATTCAGTATGGGTTACACTTTACCATCAGGCAAATTAAACACAGAAAGGTGAAAGTTATAGTTAGGGCAACCTCAGGGTAAAATTCTAGAATTTTATTTAAGGGGCACTTACCGAACGTAAATCAGTATCAAGTGATTTATATAAGATTTGCCTAAATAGTAAAGGTGCAACTTACATGTATACAAGTGAAATGTATGTGAAAATCCAGAAGTTTCCAAAGTGAGATTATCTACAGGTTTGGTCTCACTATAGATAGGCTAAGGTATGGTAAGTGAGTCATGAGTCCTATCCACGTTGTATCCGTTCAACGTAGAACTCGACGTGGTTCTGCCAGAGTAGCACCAAGAGAGTTGCTGAAGAATGGCTACCAAAGCCCCAACTGAGAGCAATCTAGATCCAGTCTAGAATCTCTCTAAATACAGCTTAGCAACTGTCCAACTATAGTCTGAGACTAGGATTGTCCAACTATAACCTGAGAGTAGGAGTAGGATTGTCCAACTATAGCCTGAGACTAGGATTGTCCAACTATAGCCTGAGACTAGGATTGTCCAACTATTGCCCGAGACTAGGATTGTCCAACTATAGCCCGAGACTAGGACCCTCAAATCGAGGGATACTCTAGACCAAAGGTGAAGTCTTAAACTTCCAAATGCTGCTCGGAACAGTCCGAAACAGAATCCAAAAATGACCAAGGGACGACTCTAGACAATTATCAGCAAGAAATTAGTCTACTTGAGCTCCCTGGCACAAAATTCCAAAAAGTCTCGCCCCAAAAATAATTAGGGCCGAGGCCCGAGACCGGACGACTACTCAGCGTGAGGTCGCAGATCAAAAGGGCAGATTCTTCATTTCGAATTTAGATTTCGGAAGAAGACTTTCATCTGTCAAACTTCTAATTTTGACATTGAAGAAAATTATAGAAAAGGACGTGTTCAGTTTCACCCCAAAAGTACGAACTGAGAATCGGTTGTGTAAAAAATGACTGGTGAATGTTGAAAAGTGCCTATAGAACATATATCAAAAGGTAGAACAGGTCTAAAGAAAACGCCTAGACAAAACAGCTGTTCTTAATGTAAAGATTAAACAACAATTATTATCATAACCTCAGATTACTGATTGGATTTGCAAACAGAGATGATGATGGTACTACCTCCTTTTCCTAAGATTCTAATCAATAACAGCGGGCCCTGCCGTACTGAATCAAACCTTCCTAGATCAATCAACAAAACTTGCAAACCTGAACCAAAAAAACTTCTAGTAGAAGGCAGCACTCAAGGTAACAAAATCTGGGCACAAAAAAGATAGTTGTTTATTCATTTATTTCATTGTAGCTCTATATGGAATCATATCTACTAAAGCAAAACAAGGTAGCTTATTAGCCAAGAAATTGAAAACGTTACAATACAAATGATTGAACTACATAATTTTTCTGATAAAACGACACCAGTGGCATCTGCCCTTCATTAACTTTCCTACGGGACACACCATGCTTCCGTATTACTATATATCTTTATGAGATTATGTGATTTTTGTGTGTGAAAAGGATTGTTTATCATTTGACATAAATATAAAGGATCCAACAGATTCGAAAATATAATTTATTTATAATTCCCGCCCATCGCCATTCGACAAGAATAAGATATAAGTTCGCAAACAAAACCTCACATTTTTTATTGCCTATTATCAAATCACTTCACACATATTGGCAATTGTGTGTGCACCTGCAGAGCAGATAAGTATTGAGAAGTAATAACGACATAACAAAAATAATAAATAGTTAAGTGCCCAGAACAATCGTTTCTAATGAGTAGATACTCGTAGATAAAAACTTTTTAGAAATTCAAGTGATTTTATTTTTTGTGTTGCCACATTCCATTCATTTATATTTTTGTTGTCACAATCCATAATTAAGAGAGAAAAAATCCAAAATGCGGTTAATTGTGGCCATATTTGTAAGTTTCTGTTTGTTTCAAACATCAGCTGCCATATCAGGTAAGCAGAACTTTGTAATGCATTATTGTTTCACTAAAAAAAAATAATTATGTTTCAAGGGTCAACACTAAAACTGCTAATCTGGGCCGCAGAGTACGGATTAAAAAACCTCGGGACACTAGATTTATTGAAAAGTCGGGATATTCATTTCAATAATGCTATTGCAAATGGTTCTTTAGCATGCAGCAAACTATCAGTGTATGGCCTGGAAAGCCTAGATGTTGATTTAGATAAAATTCAACCTACAATTGAAGAGTTAGCTGGTGGTGCTCGTAATGTTACTCTGAACTTAAATATAACTATACCCAAAACTGTTGGTATAAAAGTCCTAGAATATAAGGCCGATGTAGCCTTACCCAGTGATATTCCACTTTATGGCAAAGGAAATGTACGGTAATAATTTTGATTAAAATTTTAATAGGCTACCCATTTAACATTAATTTTATTTTTATAGAGCAAGTACAATAAACTTGGAAACTTACGTCCATGTGAATATACTATTAAATGGCTCCAACTCAACTACTTTAAATGAACTTATCTTAAAGCCAACCTTAGGTTTCGTTGAGGTAAGAATATAGTTTGTAGGTATTGTTGCTTGAGCACAAAGTACAGTTTATTTTTTAGATAAGCTTAACAGGATTTTTCAACAACCCTGACCGTACACTTAATTTAGGGATATCAGCTGCCCTCACAGCTATAGCAAACGTAGTTGCAGCTTTTTGGGACATACACGTTAATTGTTGCTCATGTGCTTTGTCTACAATAGTAAGAGCTGTTCTTAACAATCAGGTAGATCCTATGGCTATTTTGAATAGTCTTCAAGCTGACTGTAAGGTAAATTAAAAAAAGTATTTTCCAATTCAGTTTTAATTGTTTTATTTTTATTTCAGACTATTTGTACACCAAGCGATAACGCCATTGTTGAGACATTGTTTAGGACTGAAAATCCTTTGGACCTTGCAAATTATTTGGCAAGTCCTGCTGGTTTGGCGAAAGTTCAACAATATCTTGATAAGTTTATAGAATAATAAATATTTGAAATATATATATTTATGAGTGGATTCAATCATTTTTGTTGACCTCCAAGGAGACGGAGTTCGTCATTCCTCATTGTGCGTTTTTGATTATTCAGAATTGCCAAAAATTGCCTTATTCTACTTCGTCTCCTTTCTTAGATGGATAGTATCTAGCCAGAAAAACTAGGGAGAAATCCAGGAATTTCCTTGGTCTATGATATTTGATGCCTTTTTAGCAATACATATTTCTTTGCTCTGCCAAACCAAAATAACCATATTAACCATTTAATTATACATACCTGCTATCAGGATTTCACCATAATTTCCAACAAGCAACACTTTTCCACTTCAACTTTTATTGCAATCCTGAAATCATTACCAATATCTAATTTCAAGAACAAATTATCGATTAGGATAATTTGCTTAGAATGTCTAGAATATTTTCTATGTTTCTTCTGGGTCTGTCTATGCATGTAAACCTTTGATAGCTGAGCGGAAACGCCCCCAGTCTTGATTGAAGAGTTCGCGAGCTCTCCCTTAGCAGAAAGAGCCTAGACTCGAACCGCAACTCGTACGGTTGGAACGAGAATCCCACTCAGAGGCATATGTCTGTAGGAGGTACACGTTTCTGATGTCTACCCAATCTCAAGCCATTGGGCAACGGGCAACTAGTAGGTACAAGGGGTCAAACCTGAACTGCACCTTGTTGAAAGAAGGGAAATTTATTTAGCGAGTCCCTGGACACAAGGAAGTGCGGTGCGGATTTAACCATTCCGCCACACCGGAAACCGGTAAAAGTGCTCAATACCTGATCTGATACCAGATTCTGTATCTACGCCGGTGTCTCTCCACTCAAGGCGTTAGTCTCTGTGGGGGTAATACAAATATCAAGATGCGATCCCCAATGTTGAAGGGCGGGTAGCTATAGCGTAGTTCCACAAGTTGTGCTTCAAATGTCCATGTAAACCTGTGCCTGCTGAATGGACAATCCCGAGAGAGACATAGAGGAGGAAACGACACCAGTTTCAGCCGGCAGAAATCACGAGCCCTCCTTATAAAAATCAAAGAACTCATGTTTTAACCGTAACTCGTCCGGTTCAAACGAGAACCCCAGTCTGTCTAGTTGGTCCGGGTGAAGGAACCCCGATGTTTACCCGTTTCCCAGTTTTTGGGCTACTGAGCGACAAGGAATAAGTAACTCATAAATCTAGTAGGGATCATTGAATCATAGCTTCTCAAATAGAAGGGGAACCACCTAAGTAGTTCCCGAGCAAGGAAATACGGCATAGATTTGACCAAACCGGTGAAAATTCTCATCACTGATCTGATATAATCAGGCTTCTGGGCTATGGTGATAAAATGAATGAAAATGATAGAACTCGAGAACACGTTCCCTTGTTTTCAGAAATTGGCTACAGACGAATCTTACTATCATGAGTAGGTACTCATGGGTATATGCAATGGTATATAGGTCCCACCGGTATCCTACGCCCACGCCAATGTCTCTTCAGTCAGGGCGTTGGAATCTGAGGGAGCTGTACGAGTACATTGCTCGTGGATACGATTCCTGGTGGATGGATATAGAAGAGCATCTTATACCGAAACGCGAGTAGCGGAAGCTGGTTTCCGTAAATCGATGTCCATGTAAGCCACTCGTATTTGGGACTGCATGGATAACGTGACCATACGTCCCGTTTTCAATGGGACCGTCCCTTATTTCGGCACTCTGTCTCGGTGTCCCCGAGAAACGCTGCGGGACGCAAAATTGTCCCGTTTTCCCAAACCTCGCGAAAAAAAAAAAAAAACAAAATTGCGTACAAAAACAAAATATCATATTATTATATGTTAGATGCTCAAATTTCACTCCAGAACTAGAGTGTTCGGTCAACGGCTCACCTGGTTCTCAAACGTATTCCTGCATCATGGGTCTTCCTTGAAGGTCGTGAATTTAGAATCGACACTTGCTACTAAACTCGGTCTAACTAAAGTTGAACGTTGAAGGTCACTTACTCGAATATATCACAGACGTTTATTGCTTTTTGCTGATGCTGTCTTTATTGCACGCGTACTGTGTTTATCAAACCAAAATAGGTTCGAACGTGTGAATCCTATGGTTACAAGGATGAGTAATAGTGACCTTCAACGTTCAACTTTGGTGAGACAGAGACTATTTGAAAAGTTAGTTATGTCAATTCTAAACATTCAAGGCCTCCTTATGATGTGAGGAAACCTCAAGAAGCGACTTCGCGCGCAATTTGTTTATTGTCTTTTTTTTTGAAAATTATTTATTTCAGTTGTTTGATACTCACGAAATATTTTGTTTACGTTCAATGTTAAGTTAACAAGCTAAATACCCGTTTACAAGCAAAGAAATACTCCCTCGGATGTCAAATGCGAAAAGTGCCGCACAGAATTTAAGTGTTCCAATAGTTGTATTTCTTTCAAGAGTTTGGAACACTCGAGCTACTCCGGTCCGGTGTTAGTCGACTCCGATTTGAAAGGAAGAGATGTGTGGTGCAACAAACACTTTTCGAAAGGATTAAGCGCGTAACGTAACTTCCTAGGTGTGAAAGGAATACACATTGTCCCACATTCCCCTTTGTCCCGTTTTGAGTCCACAAATAAATGTTCAGGTTATGCATGGACCATATCGATGGTTATTTTAGAAGTAAAATAAAGTCTTTCACATGCTAGCACTAACTTTGGAGGGTTACGAAGCCGCACTTTTATCGCCTTGCTAATGATATAGTCAACTTCTATACTTCTAATTTCAACTTCCTTATTTTTTATCCAATGGTCTTAGTTTCTCGTCCCACACTCCCTGGAATCTGAACCCCGGACATTCTATAATGTAGATTCGAATTTGTTATTTTGGCTTTCTATAATGTTCAACAACTTCCCCTGTTTTTCAGCAACTTTTTGCCGCAGTTCTCATTGTACCTACTCGTTTTAAGAAAAACTAACCTTCTTGTTTTTCTTTTTCTTGCCTCTCCTCAGTCTCCTCTCATTCGTGCCAAATTTTCTGAAATTGGTCCTGCTCTTCTTACTTTTTTAGGTCGTCTTCTGTCTCTTCGTTTATTGCAAAAGTTTATAGAGCCTATTCTTACTTGTTTTAACTAAAATCAACTTTTGGAGGAAAGCGCCGGTAGGCAGGTCAAAAATCGAAAGGATATAAGATATAACAAACCAGAGAATTACAGCAATTATGGACGAGTGGACACAATAGTAGATGATGTTGAATAAACAACAGATACGAGAATACACAAGCAAATCTGAGTCGAAGCCAGGGGAAGAAGAAAACGCGGCAATCCGATAAGAAACTGGTAAAGTATAGTAGACAGGGATTTGAGAGACGGAGGCTTGGAGAAGGATGCCTGGATTGAAAGAGATGGTTTGAGATAAGGAGTCGGAAGACGTAGAGCGGTATAAACCTATAATTATACCATGTATAATAAATATCCAAAATTTGACACCATTTTTGAAGTCTTCTGGCCTCTTTTTGTGCTTCTTATGCGATCATTTTACAATAATGCCCTGTTCTACTTCTGTCCAACAAAACAGTTTTTTCTTGGTCGCCTTTATTCCAACAAAATTGTTTAGATTGTCACATGAATAAAACAATTAAATGAAGTGTTCATTCGCCTTAGCAGTACGTACCCTGTTAGATTTTCATTAAATTTTCCTCTTCTGAAATAACAACAAAAAGGTAATTAATCTTTTGGCTTTCAAGTCAGTTTGCTCAGTAACCCTTCATCTTGCCAATTGGCAATAATTCAAATTAAATAGTAAAAATATTTCACGTTATTATCATTGGAATAACTAGCAATAAATGGCGAGCGGTTTTATTGATGGTGTTTATTTCCTTGAGTAGCTACAAATTCCTAATTTTCCAATCGTCACGTTACAGCCACCTCTTTTTACTTGACAACTCCAGAGTAAAATCAATTCTTTTATCTCGTTTCAATATCCAACAACCTTAAGACGATTTCGCCTCAGTTTGGTACCCCAGTTTAGTTCATCAAACAGGCACCAATCAATTTCGGATGGGAGAATGATGGCGTCACAACAACTTTGGTAGGCGCTTTGGTCTGTCAAATGCTATACCGCGGTTAACTGCGGTTTGTGACTGGGTAGTGGAGGTTTGGTAGCTTTTCGTCTCTTTCTGTCTCATGTCTAAATAAACATGTCAAAGTAAAAATGTGCCAAACGCCCTACCCACTGAATTCGGATGAGATTGTTGAGCTACGTCACTCACGTACCAATTGGTTAACCATTCGCTTACCAAACAGCAGATGAAAATCTGGGGCGAAATCGTCTTTAAAGATTTCTCTTTAATTTGACTGAGCCATGATATTCAATAAAAATTTCACTAATTAATAATTCTAAAAATTTTGAAAACATAAATAAATTTTTAGGGAGCCAAAACAATATTATGTTATGATCATTATACATTTTTTCTACTACCGTGCGTAAAGTACTCACTTTACGCACTATTCAGAAGACATGTGCACTAGTGCGTAAAGTAATTCACTTCACATACTAGTGCGTAAAGTAATGTCAATGACAGATGTTGACACTGTCAATTTAGTATTTTTCTGGTGAATTATTTCACGCACTAGTGCGTAAAGTATTTGTCTAAATCTATTTTTTTACACATATTTGATTGGAAGTAGAAAAAAATTTGTATGCAATACGTGCGTGTATGTGATTGTCGCACTCGCCTTTGGCTCGTGCGTCAAAACTCACATTCGTGAAAAAAGGTTCACTTTACACACTTGTTGCATAAATAACTATTAATTAATTATTTCCAATACTTCTAATTATTAAAACATTTACTCAAAAATTTATTTCAAATGACATAAGACATTTTTTTTTGACTTGCATCAAACATGTAATATGTAACGATGTCAAATATATGCTTCTGTCTTTCTTTCTTTCTTTCTTTTAAATCTCTTTAATTAGTTACCGCCCAAAATATTCCCACAGTCAATTTCAATTTAGAACTCTTCAGAAAATATAAATTTTCAATAATGTTTCATAATATT